AACACTATTGATTTGCATAGTAAAACGTAAGTTTTTTTTTTTTTCCTCTACTTCAAATCAAATGAACGCAGGCTTGGTAAGCAGAAGAGATTAAAAAAATAAAAAATAAAAATCTTACTGTTCTAAAACTTTTGAAGGGTAATGTGTGTATTTTACATTGTTGCCCACTTCCTTAGTAGAGTTGAGCTTGGATGGTAGGCTACCTGGGTAAACAAGGGTGGCCTTGGAAGTGGTGTTAGTGACAGGCCAGTTGGGGGCGATTACCCTGTGGTCTATGTGGATCCTATTGTGCCCTAGTATATAGTGATGGGGACACTATAATGTATGAAGCTCTGACCTTCAGATGAAATGTTAAACTAGGGTACTGATTCCCTGAGGCTGTTTAGGGTTTCTGTCCTCGCTACTGTTACTGATAGAGCTATGTGTTGTATGTATGTATGTATGTATGTATGTATGTATGTATGTATGTATGTATGTATGTATTGTATGTATGTATGTATCACATTTATAACAGCATAGTTCAGTGCTGGATACACTAGTCAAGCATAATCTGCCTTTGCCTTGACTCATCCATTAAAGTCTCTGCATTGTCCTCTATCCGTCAGATGACAGTACATTTTAAACTGAATATGATTAATTTAAACAATTTAATTTCAGTTAGCTTTTTATAGCTTAACAATAAAACAAACTAAAAAAATGTTATATTAAATTTAAAATGACAGTCTTTAAACAATCGATCCCCATCATTCTTCTCTCTTCTCAGATGGGATTGTGGGCCAAATCAAAGGTTACCATGGGCCAACTTTGGCTTCGGGCCCTAGTGTGGGCATTGTGACACACAAAAGTATTCTGCATACCATAAATAAAACACTGATCAATCAGCATATAGGACCAATCCTCAGGTTTATAATTCTTTATAAATCTTTATGGTTATAATTCTTTGTGTGAATAAACCTTGACATGCATGATTAATCGAAAGAATGATAATCATACCAAGTGGATTAGAGGACATCTGCCAGCACAGGACATTAGTGAACTTCACTATATTTACTAACTTTACTCTTTACTTATCTCAACTTGGATACCAAATGAGTGATTTTTTATTGTGATCATAAGATTCAATATAGAATACCTGCTTGGACCTTTAGCATTATCAGACCAAGTCAAACCATCTTATCCCCCCCCACATACACACACAATGACAATTACACACTTTCAGCGCGCCTCGCTCTATCTGCAGTGCAGCTGCAGTCTGTTTTTAGCCATTTGGTCTAACAGACACAGAGAAAAGGAAGAGAAAGAGAGGGAGGCAGACCAACAGGTGGAGAAGAAAGGTGGGAGAAATGTGAGGAAGAAACAAGGTGACTGAAGAAAAAGGAAATGGGAGAGGTTCAGTGTTGTGTTGCCTGGCAACCGACGTTGTTCCATCTGGGGGGATGTTGCAATTTTACTGCAAAGACCAGATTACATCGTGTCAGGTGCAAGCCACTGTCCCACACATACAAACAATACCTGCGCAGATAGACTTTTACTCACACTACTTCTCTTACTCATACAAAATAAAATAACACGAACGAGCATGTTAAAAATATGATTAATGCTACACAGAGAGAGATCAGACACGCAGGGGCCACTCGTCTGTAATTAGTCTGATTGTGTGTGTCTGCAGCTGCTTCTGCATTCACACTGGAGGGTTTTCATGTACATAGAAGTGTGCATGTGTGTGTACTGAGTCTCACAGTAGATTAGCTATATGATGCCTTTTCTCTCACTCTCCAGCTTTTTAGATTGTGGCTCCAGCATTTGTAAAAAAAAAAAAATAATAATAATAATAAAAATTAGCAGCTCAAATAAAAGATTGTAGGGTTTAAAATCTGAAGCTAAAAATAAAATGGTTATATACACACATATATACATATTTATACACACACACAAACACACACACACATACGTACGTACATTCTATATTATAACTCAAAGCTATTTACACATTTGGGGGTCTTTTCTACCACCAGCAGTGTGCAGCTGCAGCATCCACCTGTCTAGACCACACACCAGCTCATTTTTGGAGAGGAGACAGAGTTATGATGCCAATTAGCAGATACGGGGATGTTAGGAAGTTTACCAATGGGCAAATTTGGCCAGGATGTCAGGAACACACCCTTCTCTTTTCAGAGAGTCAGGGGCCTCAGTTAAACATCTCATCCAGTGCCTAGACTGCAGCTCCACGCAGGACGTTTGGCCAGAGGAGAAATTGTCATGCCCAACAGAGCCTGGTTTCTCCCGAGGTTTTTTTTTTTCCTTCACTTTCATTAATTGGTGAAGTTTTTTTCCTCGCCACTATCGCTATTGGCATGCTTGTTTGCTGGTTTGGGACCTGTAGAGTTGTGCATCAATGCATTTGCTCTTCAGTGTTTGGACTTTGAGCAGTGAAATTTAAACCACACTGAACTGAACTTTAACTCTGAAATCTAGACTTTACTAGAACTTTTATTTTAAGCTTCTTTGACACAATCTATATTGTAAATGCGCTAGAGAAATAAACATGAATTGAATTGAATCCAAAGGATGGTGCTAACTGATGGTACAGTGTCCCAATCACAATACTGAGGCACTAGGATCCACACAGACCACATGGTGAGCACTACCTGTCAGCCTCACTAACACCTCTGTCAGCAACAACTAATTTTTACAATGTAGTCACCCATCCAGGTACTGAGTAGCCTCAACCTTGGCTTCAGTGGGCAAACATGCGATAGTGTAAAATGACTACTCAAAGACAACATGATGGATATTTCATAAAACTGAAATGAGGATCTTGTTAGGGCTGTAAATGTATTTTTTTTTCTTACCACAGTGATGATGCAAAAAACATCGTGTGGCTATCTGCACCCTCATACACCCACCATCCCACTCCTACATAAAACAGGATGGGAAACTCTCTTTATTAGTTATTTATTTTTCCCCAGAAGACTTAAAACATACAAAAATTATGTTAGGTTATGACAAGCTATGATTATTGTGCTTATAGTTCGTATCTCATATGCTCTCCTGTAACTTTCACCAGCAAAAAAATAAGTGTGGTCATGACAGGAATGACTTCAACACTGCGGATGGTATCTTATAACTGCAGCGAGGTGGTTATTGTCACAGCCCCATATCTAGCAAAAGAAAACTATTTTCAGCTGAAGGGCATATAATATTGTACGAAAACACAGCTGTGAGCAGTTTTCAAAGCACACAATTTAAAAAAAAAACTATACAATTATAGTTTCTGTGTAAATTGCAAAAGCATGATTTTCCAAAAACAGTGACATCATGTGTGTGAGTTCACAAAGATGCAAACTAAATTCATGTGCAAAGCTGGAATATCTCATAAACGATTTGCAAATAATGCAGTGTTTCCTTTCAATGAGTCAAAGAGAACAAAATCGTCACTTCCTAATAAACTGGCAATTTTTTTTACATTTTTTTTCTTGTTGAATAAAAAATGTATCCTACTCAGTTATGTGCATATGTTTTTTACGCATATTATGAAAAAATATGTAAATCTTGGTGTTTACATCCAAAATGAGCATAAAAATAAAATGGGAGGAAAACAACTACACTGTCAATATTTTTGCTGCTTGTTCAAACTACTTATTTATAATGATCTGAATCATTATAGATACCCAGATTGTCTTTTACTCCGCGTGTACAGAATTTACAACACATGTACAGAATCTGTTTGGGAAACAGCATCTATTTATCACTATGGAGCACGTCTGACAGTCACGCACCGCTACATGAACTGACTGTTTTAAGGGTTGCATAGGAGGGCGACGGCGCCTGTAAAGTAACGGAAGTGAATTGTGCCATTCTTATATTTATTTCAGTGTTTTCAAGCCTAAATAAAATGAAAGCACAAAACAGATTCACGATTAACGCCTATGCACACGGGGCATCAGCTTCAACAATTCCCATTCACTTTTTGCTGCTTGTTCAAACTACTTATTTACAATGATCTGAATCAACACAATTCTTACGTTTTTTGGGGGACAACTTAATTGTTTTCTGTTCAATCAACTTAAATTTGTAAAAACAATTTAGTTAACTTAATCAATTTGTGACAACATGAAGGAACTTTTTTCAGTGTATTTTTGGAAACCTCTATTTTTGCAGATTTGTGTGGACAGGGATCTTTGATTATTCAAACTGTAAAACGATTATATAATCATAAAAAAACATGTAGAAATGTAATTTGTCCTATACGTCCAATTTTCACTGCTTTGCCACCATTAATAGTTAAAAAAGAAATCAAAAAAAGTCTTTAAGACCAAGTGGAATCCTCGTAGGACTTTAGTTAATCAGTTTTGGCCAATGCAAAGTATTATTTTTCATGAGTTCAACATCCAGCTGTGCAAGAAAAAATCTGACATAAGCAAAGTGAAATTTTGCAACTGGGTTGTTTTTAAATAGAGAAAGAATTTGACAAGTAACTTTTATTCTAATTCTTGGACCTTATTCTTGAAAGAAAACATGACCAATAATAAAAGTGTGAAGCTCTCAATTATTAGCATTATTATTTTTATTAATATTGTTGTTGTTGTTGTTATGTAAAAAAAAGTTGGCCAAACTGTAACTGAGGAATGTTGAACGTGCTGGCCAGTTTGTTATTTGCCTAATAAATGACAATACAGGCTACAGTTTTTAATAAACATTATCATATTTCATTAATTCTAAATATTTAGGAAACTATTTGGTACATCAGAAAGTGTGGTTATGACCATCCAACAAAATTAAGTTTAAAATATCACCTAAATTCAGTATTTAAATTTCATAATTAAATAGAAAATGAGGTGAATAACTGCAAAAATGCCCACTTTTTGAGAAATAAAGAACCACTCATTTCACCAAGCTGGCTACGGGCCTGATTTTTTTACTGGAATATTGTGCTCTGTAATCTCCTTCACATGGAACAGCAGATCTCAGTCTCATGGCATATCTGTGCTTCTTTTCAGCTCATCTCCAGTGATGCAGATGGGGCCATACAGAGAGCTGGCAGATTCAGAGTGGAGAATGGTTCAATCGATGAAGTAAGATACTTATCAAATATTTTAGTCTTATATCTGTGAGTGTGTGCACTATATGTGCTGGCTTATGATACACATGTACAGCAAGTGTCATAAAACAATTATGAAAACTGACAAGCTTGAAACGAAAGGCACTGTATGTCATTTTTATCAATAGAGAGTGCATTTTCACAACAAGCAAAGGCATAGTTAGATGACACGTGACTTGAGTGTGGAATCATGGGAGTTATGGTCTCAATTACATCCTATGGGACTCCAGAAATCATGCTCATGGATGAACTAAAGTAGAAGACACTAAAGAAGAACTAAAGTCCAGTCTTACTATCATGGTACTGTAGTTTGAAGCATAGTAAGACTGAAATGTGTCGAAGCAAAATGAGATGTTGAAGCAATTGCTGATAGGAGGCGAATGCTTTTAAGTTGACCACT